AACAGTCTTTCTTGGGACAAGGGATAAACCTGATCCCAGCATTCTAGAAAAGCCATCTAGGGGCCTGGGTTTCACTATTCAGTATTCAAGTTTTAACTTCTTTTCTCTCTTTTCAATAAGGTGTCTCACCACAACCAACACATTAAAAGTCCATTCATTTTTTAACAAGAAGTCCATTCACCAATATTTAATGAGAGGCTCCTGTGGGACATTCACAGTGTTTAAGGTGAGACAGCAGTAAATAAGACAACTTTTCCAAAGGGAAAATGTATTAATTATGTTATATTCTATAAAAGTATGGCTGTATTGTCAAAAAGAAGCCACGAACCTTCTACTGAGGGAATAAAATCACTCAGATATGAAGTAGCTAGTGATCATATGTCTGTCTTTATATATGTGTATACGCATGTATGTATATCTTCTCTTCAACCTAGTTTTAAAAATGAAAGGAGAGTTTTAAACCTTGTATAGGAACGCTAATTTAGAGAAACATAACCAAAGAGAGGAACTGCAAATGCTTCAAGAGAGAGAAACCATTAGCCAAACAGGACTCTCGAGAATGCCTTGTTTTTTGAGACTCATGTTAAAGCTACAGGGGAATTTCTCAGAGCAGCCATCATGAGCTAAAGGGATTTCCAGTTAGTACAAAAATCTTAACCTACAACGATCCATTTTTATGAGTAGCTATAGCCTTCTCTTTTGCAGACCCTTTTTGTGACCTTTGCCCTCCTAAGGCCAGAATTACTATATTCCATCAGTGCCACAAGAATAAACTGTTGTGCAAAGATCTGTTCTTAGTGATTGAAAAGATTTAACCCCAATGGATTCTTTTATTTGAAGCAAGTATCCAACTCCCCATACCGCATATTCATCTCAGGCTTTATATCTGAGCTGGAAAGTTAGTCTACTATTGGGTCAGAAAAAAATTGAGCTCTGATTTTTTAAATCATATTCAGAAACCTGCCTGGAAAAACCAGATGGTCACTGGATCATGATGAAAGGATCTTAGAGAACTCTGTTTCATTACTAGCTATCCTATTGAGAAAACAAAATAAAAGCCATTTTTAGAGAGTTCCTTAGACAACATTATATTCTAAAGCTCCCATGTCAAACTGTCTTATTTGCCCATCGATGTCAGGGATCTGTGTTTTGTTCTCTCATGTAAAGTACCTGGAATATAGTGATATATGTTGATTGTACTGTTCTCCATTCATTCAAAGCCCTTGCCATTGTGGAGATTACATTCCCGAGAGAGAAGATAGATAAATTAAAGAAGAATCCAGGGAATTACTGTTGCTATAAAGGAAGTAATGTAAGAGGAAAAGTGAGGATTGGATAGAATGTTCAGGGAAGGTCTTTTTTTGTGGAGTGTAGACCGAGGAAGATAAGAGGGGAAGGAATGTGTCAGAAGGCCACCACAGTAGTTTAAATGAAAGACAAGCCACAAGAACTAGTGTGGAAAGAGGAAAGATGGTTAAAAAAAAAAAAAAAAAAAGTTTGAATTAGGATATATATAGAAGTACTTGGTGATGGATTGAATGTAGAATGGGAACAAAGTAAAAGGGTCAGTGATGACCCCTAAGCAATTTGAAACAAAGTGAAGCGTGAAGCTTACATGAAGCATGGGATGCCTAAGAAGTTGGCACACTTGGGAATGTAGTGGGCTCGGAAGGTGGGGAAGATATTCTTGATGGATATTCACATGTCTTTTTCTCAAGTTTTTGAAAAGAGGCTTTGGTCTTAAAGAGGTGAAGCATGTCACACACCTTCTCCAATTCCCTAAATTACTCAACCCAGGAAAGTAGTATCTCTCCCTCTCCCTCTAAAACAAGCCACCAAACTCCATAATGAAGAATAGGATAGGGGCACCTGCATGGCTCAGTCGGTTTATTGTCCGACTTCAGCTCAGGTCATGATCTCACATCTGTGAGTTCGAGCCCCGCATTAGGCTCTGTGCTGACAGCTCTGAGCCTGGAGCCTGCTTCGGATTCTGTGCCTCCCTCTCTTTCTGCCCCTCCCCTGCTCATGCTCTCTCTGTGTCTCAAAAATAAATAAAAACATTAAAAACTTTTTTAAAAAGACTAGGATATTCTCAAAGAAAATTCACATGTACAGTTTCTGGACTAAAATTCACTCACCTCTGAAGTTCTGAATTTCAACATCGAACGTAGGAATAGCTTTTAACTTCAGAAATTTCACAGGCCAAAGAACAAGAGTTAAGGAGATTGCAACAAGTACCCTTTGACCCTGAGGTCCACCCTCTTTTTCAAACAGAAAATCCACTGGTTTCTGGAATGACCACATAGTTCCATCTGAAACAGGAAACACAATGCAGGGTATCTTTAGCTGACCGGAGAGTGTTCATTAGAATAAACACAAAGCTCATAAAAATACTCAGAAACAAAAATATTCACCTAAATCGTAATCTATTTTTTAATTAAAAAATTTACTATACAAATATAAGGTAAAATTATTTTGAGAAATGTGAATTTCACTTTTACATCTTATCAGGCTTTGACTTCCCCCACCTTCCCTTCCAGTCAATCCTAGTTACCTGACTGAATACCTTTAGGGAGAGACAAACTGAGTGGGTGGAAAGATTAAATAGCCTGCTTAAGAGATTGTGTTACTATTTGGTGATTTCTAGCAAATTTTTGTCTCTGTAAATTAAAAATAAAAGCATCTACCTCTTAGAGTCAAAAGATCCAGATGATACATACAAAATATTTGGAACCTTACCTTGCAGATAGCATATTAGAAACTTAAATTATTTTAATATGTAATATTTAAATTCAATATCCTTTTTGTCATCCTACCACATTCATCATCTATTGCTGCAGAGAATTCTTTCCTCTCCTGTGGGCGTAAATTTCCAATGTCACACTTAGTGCTTTTCAGGGCAAATTTCCCATTCTCTTGCATACTTTCCAATTTGTCCGGACACAACTAAAATGTGACCTCAGTCTTTTTACATTTGCCGTCTATGTGCTTTTTGCCTTCCATGTACTACTGATGGACAATGTTTATCACACAATAAGCAGGAAACCCAAGAAATCAGAACCTTCCCCATGACTTCCCCATGAATTCTTTATCTTCTCTTTATCCTTTTCTTGCTTTATACAAGATCAAGAAAATTAACTGCAGTGAGGTCACTTACCTTTCCTTCTTTTAGCCCCTTATAGATTATTTCAAGCAGCTTGACCTGACTCTCAACTGAAGGTAGGAGTAGGTCTAGATTGGTAGCAGCTGTGAGCCTTCCCTTACTTCTTAACCCAGAAAGGTATCAGTAGTTCAGCTATAAAGAGCCTCACAGCTTGATTTTTGCTACACATTGTAGAGCACTATTTCCAAGCTATAACTACAGAATGAAACTGGATTTTTAACTTAAATGTACCCTGGGCAAAAAACTTAACCATATGCAAAGTGTTTTAAGGGTAGTCATATCGTTCCGGTGTGGTGGGATAATCCTGTTTCAAATCACTGGAGGCTCCTCTGATGACCCAAGATAGCCTTCCTCTCACTTAGCCCAGGTATCCAAGACATTCAGTTTCTTAAAGCAACTGCTAATTATATCTTACCATCCAACAATTTTCCTAAAACAGCAGTATGGTTGGCAATCCCAGTCACATGAACCGTGCACACTCGTCACTAGATGCCATGCAAAGCTTACTCTCATCTGTAAACCGAATAGCCTACCTCCCCAGTATTATCACCATGTCTTTACATTTTAAGACTTAGAATTGCAAGCCACACAAAAGGCTATAGCCACCGACCAAACCAGCTGTTTTGTTTCTTGCTTTTACTAATTTTCTTCTTAATCTTGGCTGCATATTGTAACCACCCAGACAGCTCTGGAAAAATGATGCCTGGGTTCCAACCCAAGATTTTGATGTAATTAGTGTTTCAGGAGGGGTGGCTTATTCATTTTTTTTATTTTATTTTATTTATCTTAGAGACAGAGGGAGGCAGAGAGAATCCCAAGTAGTCTCTCTACTCTCAGTGCAGAGCCCAGTGCAGCGCTCTAGCTTATAAACTGTGAAATCATAACCTGAGCCAAAGTCCAGTCAGGCACTTAACTGCCTGAGCCACCCAGGTGCCCAGATAATTTTAAAAAACTCCTCAGGTGATTTCAGGATAAATCAAATTTGTAAACCTGCTACTGTACATGAACAATCATTTTTTTCTTTTTTTAATGTTTGTTTTCAAGAGAGAGAGAGAAAGAGAGAGAGTGAGCATGAGGGGATGGGGAAGGCAGAGAGGGGAACATCACATCCAAAGTGGCTTGAACTCATAAACCCTGAGACAATGACCCGAGTTGAAGTTGGATGCTTAACCACCCATGTGCCTCCTCCCCCAAGACTTATTGTGATTTGCTGTGAAGATGTGCAAAGACTTTTCTTGTCTTGACTTTACTTGTATATCTTGAAGCATTGAATTATCAGGATTCTTATAAGAAATCTAATTATCCTTGTAAGAAAGTAGAATACTTGCAAAAATAATTTTAAAATATTCACATTTTCTGCAATACCTCCTCCCCACCCAGATAAAGTACCCGGGGAAATCGAGTTCTCTGTTTAGAACGATGTCAGGAAGTCTTGACACTGCCAATAATAGGATCAAAGGATGTCTTCATTTCACCTGTCACTGTGATGACGTCCTCAAATCTAAAGTCTTGATTATATCTAATTGTGTTTTCAGAAGTCGCTAGAGTCCTTAACTTAGTCCTACAGAGTCCAGGCTGTATTACTTCTCTAAGTTCCCAATTTTATGCTGCATATGCATTTATTGTTTTAATTAGTAGGGCCCTTCCGTTATTATCATTTATGACTCAGTTTCAATGTAACCTCTGCCACTAAATAGGTGTTGAAAGCCACATGAATGCAAAAACTCTTGGGATAATGAACTAGATTCCAACTCAAGTGTGAGAAATCTTTTATTGGATTACTTTATGTAGATTCTTTTACAAAGTCAAACTCTTTACTTCTGCCCCCTCTTAGATTTCATGCCAAGGAAGACTGTGGGCTAACAGTAACATCACAAGAAGAAACGGGAGGAAGGCAAATGCTAAGTGAGTCTGAATTTGTGACTCCACTTGGGATACAAAGAGAAAATGTGGGCCTGAGAGCTCCTTGGAAGGTGAGGGAAGAGAAATTATAAATGAGGGATGTGTTTGCCACATCATAGAAGGATATGTGCCCAGACTCACAGTCTAGGAAGACTCCAACTTTGTGCATCTGCTCTCCTCTCAAGGAGACCCTCTTCAGGGGGGGAAAGGCCCAGAAGGTATAATTGGTTCCCATCAAAGAACCCATGAGCAAGACTTTATTTCCCGAAGCGGTGGGTAGATCACCATGTCTGCTGGCAGAATCTTCAGATACCCCCAACTGCCACTTGGTGGCCTTCTCCACATCCACCTCCCAGTAGTGCCTCCCTGAGGTGAAGCTTTCCACACCCAACACGGTGGCACTAAAGACAAATCTTCCTGGGCTGCGAGGCACGTCCTGCTGGACATTTCTGAGATGCATGCTTCTCAGATCCTCAGATAAGACCAAACAGGGATTAGCTGTTTTAGGATCCAAAGTGACAGCTCCTGCAGGGAGAGAGAAACTCAGTTAAACTCAGTGAGAGTTGTCCATGCCCACACCACAGACTATTTCTAACATGCAGAGGCTTGCCAATGAGTGGGCTCGTGTCGCAGGCACAGATAGGGAAGAGGCAATCCAAGAGTTCAGGACAGGTAACCTCTGAGCTTTGTATCAAGAAGTGGACACCAGAGAAGAAAGTGACATAATGGAAGGAGATGCAATCTGAGGAGGAAGAACAAAGAATAATGGAGCACACAGAGGTTTGGAAGTACCTGTCAAACCAGAAAGGAATTTGAGCAGGCTGTAAAAATGGCATCCAATCCTACTTAGGTATCACCTGGGACCCATCTCTACTCCTCTGAAGATCTCCAAGCCTGGAACTCCAAGATCTATTCCCCTACAGAATCATCAGAATCTCCTAACAGATCAGGCTTTTCCCTGTGACCGGCTGTGATTCCCTGTAACTGAATTGCTCTCATCTTAAATATCACCAGAGTGTGACCCGGATGCCTACAAATTGTTGCCAGCAGGCCCTTGATATTGAGTAAATCAAAAGAACATATTAGCAGAGGCTAGAAGACCTGAAGGAATTCTCCAGGAAAAAAAAAAAAAAATCAAGCTGAGAACAAGAAAGCTAATGTGATTTCTTATACTTGGATGAAAGTAACACTTGCCTTCATACCTCAAACTGTTCCTTCTCTTTATCTCTTTCTCTTCAACCGTTTCTCAGGGCTAAATGGTGGGTCATCCTTTTCACTACATGCACTCTTTCTCCCCAGGTTACTTCACCTAGTCTCAGTTTTAAATATCTTCTATATGTTCATGGCTTACTTCATGGAGAAGTTGCGAAATACCAGTTCGAAATAACACAGGCATTTAACACATACTGTGCCCAAAATGGAACTTCAAAACTACTCCTTTCTAGTTTCTACTTCAGTTAACAGCATACTTACTTCTTCAGTTGCTAAAGCATAAACCTGGAGTAGTTCCTTATTTCTTACTCTAATTTTTAATCCAGCAGAAGGTTTTGATGCCAAATGCACTTAAATTTCTGGAGTTTAGGCCACATTCATATTATTAGGTGGTCTTAAAAGCCATAAGCCTTTACATTTAAATACAAGTTGTCCCAGACTTTTAGTATTTCCAGAAGATGGGCAGAAACATATGTGGACTCTCTCTACAATAACGCATATATTCATTTTTGAACTCAAAGAATTTCTAAAAATAATATCCAAGGAAAAAAGCAAAACTTTCTGTTTAAAAAAGTCAAACACATACTCAAAGTAAGAAAGCGCTATTTTTTTTAAAATTTGTTTTTAATGTTTATTTTTGAGACAATGCGAGAGACAGAGTGCAATCAGTAGAGGGGCAGACAGAGGGAGACACAGAATCTGAAGCTGGCTCCAGGCTCTGAGCTGTCAGCCCAGAGCCTGACGCAGGGCTCGAACTCACAAACTGTGAGATCATGACCTCAGCCAAAGTCGAACGCTTAACCAACTGAGCCACTCAGGCGCCCCAAGAAAGCACTATTGAGATTAGCAAAAATAAACCTGAATAACTTTAGGTATTGGAATTACCAGGCACTGAACTAAAATAATTTTTGCTTACAAGTTTGAAGACAAAAGAAAAGCTTAAAAATATCTACAGGATATAGAAAAGCTAAAAAGCAAGACCAAATGGATTTGACAAAGAACAAAATAGATTATCTAGAAATGAAAATTAAAGTGTCTATGACTCCATCAAAAGTCTGCTAGAACTGATATATGAATTTAGCAAAGTTGCAGGGTACAAAATTAATGTACAGAAATTGGTTGCATTTTTATACACGAATAATGAAGCAACAGAAAGAGAAATAAACTGATCCCATTCACAATTGCACCAAGAACCATAAAATACCTGGGAATAAACCTAACCAAGGATGTAAAAGATCTGTATGCTGAAAACTATAGAAAGCTTATGAAGGACATTGAAGAAGATACAAAGAAATGGAAAAACATTCCATGCTCATGGATTGGAAGAATAAATTTTGCTAAAATGTCAATACTACCCAAAGCAATCTACACATTCAATGCAATCCCAATCAAAATTGCACCAGCATTCTTCTCAAAGCTAGAACAAACACTCCTAAAATTTGTATGGAACCACAAAAGACCCGAATAGCCAAAGTAATGTTGAAAAAGAAAACCAAAGTGGGAGGCATCACAGACTTTAGCCTCTACCACAAAGTTGTAATCATCAAGACAGTATGGTACTGGCACAAAAACAAACACATAGACCAATGGAATCGAATAGAGAACCCAGAATTGAACCCATAAATGTATGGCCAACTAATCTTTAACAAAGCAGGTAACAGTATCTGATGGAAAAAAAAGTCTCTTTAACAAATGGTGCTTGGAGAACTGGGCAGCAACATGCAGAAGAATGAAACTAGACCACTTTCTTACACCATACACAAAAATAAACTCAAAATGGATGAAGGGCCTAAATATGAGACAGGAAACCATCAAAACCCTAAAGGAGAAAGCAGGAAAAAAACCTCTCTGATCTCAGCCGCAGCAATTTCTCACTTGACACGTCTCCAAAGGCAAGAGAATTAAAAGCAAATATGAACTATTGGGACATCATCAAGATAAAAAACTTCTGCACTGCCAAGGAAACAATCAACAAAACTAAAAGCCAACCAACGGAATGGGAAAAGATATTTGCAAATGACATATTGGATAAAGGGCTAGTATCTAAAATCTATAAAGAACTCACCAAACTCCACATCCAAAAAACAAATAATCCAGTGAAGAAATGGGCAGAAAACATGAATAGACACTTCCCTAAAGAAGACATCCAGACGGCCAACAGGCACATGAAAAGATGTTCAACGTCACTCCTCATCAGGGAAATACAAACCAAAACCACACTGAAATACACCTCACACCAGTCAGAGTGGCTAAAATGAACAAATCAGGAGACTATAGATGCTGGAGAGGATGTGGAGAAATGGGAACCCTCTTGCACTGTTGGTGGGAACGCAAACTGGTGCAGCCGCTCTGGAAAACAGTGTGGAGGTTCCTCAAAAAATTAAAAATAGATCTACCTTATGAGCCAGCAATAGCACCGCTAGGAATTTACCCAAGGGATACAGGAGTGCTGATGCATAGGGGCACTTGTACCCCAATATTTATAGCAGCACTTTCAACAATAGCTAAATTATGGAAAGGGCCTAAATGTCCATCAACTGATGAATGGATAAAGAAAATGGGGTTTATATATCCAATGGAATACTACTTGGCAATGAGAAAGAATGAAATCTGGCCATTTGCAGCAACGTGGATGGAATTGGAGGGTATTATGCTAAGTGAAATAAGTCAGTCAAAGAAAGCCAGATACCATATGTTTTCACTCATATGTGGATCTTGAGCAACTTAACAGAAGACCATGGGAGGGGAAGGAAGGGGAAAAAAAAGTTACAGAGAAGGAGGGAGGCAAACCATAAGAGACTCTTAAATACTGAGAAAAAACTGAGGGTTGATGGGGGGATGGGGGAAAGGGGAAAGTGGGTGATGGGCACTGAGGAAGGCACTTGTTGGGATGAGCACTGGGTGTTGTATAAATAAACTGAAGTGTCTATGGACGATTATAAGAAAGCTATATATCAATATGCCTCATTAACCTAAATACCAAAATTCTTTAAAGTATTAGCACATTGAATCCAGCAATATATAAAATGGATGAAACATCATAACCAGGTTTACTCCTGGAATGCAAGGCTGGGCCAATGAAAAAATATATTTACCATATTAATATATGAAGAAAAAATATGCATCTAATAAATTCAACATTTGTTCACGATACAAAGTTTTAGCAAACCAGGAATAGAGGGAGAACTTCCTTAACTTGATGAAAGGCAACTACAAAAACCTACAGCTAATGAAAAGTTCAAGTGAAAGACTTAATGCTTTCTTTCACCCTAAGATCAAGAACAAGGCAAATGTTTCTCAGTGCTCTTATGTGATATTATATTTGAGGTCATAGCACCAGTACAAGGTGAGAAAAATACAGAAAGGATTACATATTGTAAAGAAATAAAACTGCCTGTATTAATAGAGCACCTGACTCTCTTTGCAGAAAATCCCAAAGAATCTATAAAAAAGCCACCAGCTCTGAATGAGTTTAGCATAGTCATAGATGCAATGTCAATATATACAAATTATTTTTATATATAAGCAATAAACTAGAAATGAATAAAATTTCAATTAGAAGTGTGTATAAGAACTAAAAACTATAAAATACTTAGAGACCCATCTAATATGCATGATATTTGTTTGCTGAAAACTTCAAAACATTGCTGAGTGAAGCAGACCTAAAAAGAAATATGTCATCTTATCCCTAAATTAATCTATACGTTCAATATAACACCATTTAAAATCTCAGGGTTTTTTTTGTAGAACCCAACAAGCTGATTTTAAAACTTATGTGAAAAAGCAAAGGATCTAGAGTAGGCAAAATTATTTTTATAAGAACAAATTTGGAAAACTCACATGCCATATTTAAGACTTCCTATAGAGTACACATTCAAGACAGTGTTGTATTAGCAAAAGGAAAAACACAGTGATCAATGGACCTATTAGAGTCAATATAGACCTGCTTAAACGTGCCAGCTGATTTTCAACAAAGGTGCTAAGTAAATTTAATGAATAATATCTTCACCAAATAATTCTGGAACAACATGAACAAAAAAGGATACATACATGAACAAAAAAGGAGCGGGTGGGGAGTTATACCAGATCCTGAGTCATACACACATATGACTCCAAAAGAATAACAGACATAAATGTAAGAGCTAAAGCTTCAAGAAAAAAAAAATCTTTATTTGGATACTAAAATACTTCTTAGCACACAAATAGCACAAACCATAACAGAAAAAAAAGTTGGTAAGCTGAATTTCAAAATTATTTGCAATAATCAAGATATACAAGCCACGCCAAGTGTCCACCAACAGATGAATGGGTAAAGAAGAAGTGGTAGATATACACAATGGAATATCAGTCAGCCACACAAAAGGATGAAATCTTGCTATTTGCAACAACATGGATGTAAATAAAGACTATAATGCTAAGTGAAATAAGCGAGTCAAAGAAATACAAATACCATGATTTCATTCATGTGGAATTTAAGAAACAGAACAAATGAACAAAAAGACAAACTGAAAAACAGACTCTTAACTATGAGAACCAAACTGATGGTTACCAGAGGGACGCAGGTTGGGGAAGGGGTATAACAGGCAATGGGGAATAAGAATACACTTCTCATGATGAGCACTGAGTAATGTACGGGCTTGTTGGATCACTACTTGTGCACCTGAAACTAATAAAACACTGTGCACTAACAACATTGGAATTAAAATTAAAAATTTAATAAAAAAAGAAAATATAAATCACAGAGTGGAATAAATATTTGCAAAACGTGTCTGATAAAGAACTGGTAAATATTAATCAGAAAATATAAAGAAATCACAAAACTCAATAATATACAACAAAATTTTAAAAATAGGCAAAATGTTTATAGATATACTTCAAATAGATATAATAAAGTACAAATAAACATGAAAATATGCTCGACATCCCTAGTCATTTCAGAAATGCAAATTAAAATTTAAAGTGATATATAACTACGTATCTATTAGGTCAGCTTTAATTAAAGAAAAAAAAAGTGACACTACCAAATGCTTATGACGATGTAGAGCAACTGAATCTCATACATTAACAGTGGGAATGCAAAATGGCACAGCCAATTTGGAAAACAAATTTTACAGTCCCTCTCCTAGATATGCAACCAAGAGAAATGAAGTCATGTCCACTTAAAACTCCCTAAGCAAATATTTATAGCATATATTTAGAAATAACTCAAGTGGCCATGGAACTGCAAGAGAATAAATTGTGGTCTATTCATACAATGGAGTACAACACAACAACAAAAAAGAATAAACTACTGATACACACAACAAACTTGGATATGCCTCTCATGCTTTACACTAAGTGAAAAAAGCCAGACTCAAAAGGCTACCTACCGTATGAATCCACCTGCAGGACATTCCAGAAAAGGCAGTGGGGCAGGAGATAGAAATCTTTCATTATACGTATATGTTGACATTTTTTCCCCTAGAAGTTTAATTTTTTTTTTTTTAATTGAAATCTTCTTGCAATCATGTTTCAGGGTTGAAAACTGGGAAAGGATTTGCACAGGAGAGCCTTTCAACATAAGAGCATACAATTATTTTCTTGATAACTATCCAATGTGCGTAGCATTATTAAACTCTCCAGTCTTTTTAAATCCTTAAGCTCTTTGGAATATACTTGTATTTATGGTAGGATGTTCGCTGGATTTTCCAATACAAAGTCAAGTGCCCTGTAATCATGGAGGTGTGTCGACTTACTTTGCAGAACTTTGAGCATTCTGCTCATTCCTGTTACTTGGCATAAACTCAGGTCCGTGATTTGGGCTTGCTCCAGACACTGAAGCAGTAGTGACTCACTCCTATTAAAAAAAGGACAGCCTGTTATCTGTGCAGACGCCAGGCCCCCCACTATTCAGAGGATGGATCTTGTTACATGACCTCCCGATCCTTACCCCAACATCCCTACTCCTGGGTGCTCGTGTATCAGACCTTGACTCCCACCCCAATGTTTCCAAAATGAAAACTTACCTTTTCAAAGAAGATCCTGCATTCTGCAGGGTGAAAAAGAGATAAGGTTAGTATCTGAGCCACGCCTCTTGTGAGTTGTACCCCTGAAAATATCTTCTCATAATGAAACTTGATTTCTACATAATTTCCTCAGCTTCATGGTACTAATTATCAGATACCAAATTTTAACACTGAATGGTAGAAGTCAGAAAAAATACTTAAAATCACAGTTATATTCCCAAGGTAACTATTTGGGTTTTTTGTTTTAATATTCTTAGTTTTATTATTCAGGGACTATATAGTCATTTTACATGGAATTTAGAACCTGCTGAGTCAGATGATGTCTTGACAAGATTTATATTTAATCTGGATGTCTTTCTTTCCTTCTTTTAAAACTTTTTTTTAAGGTTTATTTATTTTGAAAGAGAGAGAGAGAGAGAGAGAGAGAGAGACAAAGACAGAGGGAGAGAGAGAATTCCAAGCAGGCTCTGCACTGTCAGCGCAGAACCTGATGTGGGTCTTGAACTCACAAACCATGAGATCATGACCCGAGCCGAGATGGAGAGTGCAGATGCTTGGGGTGCCTGTGTGGTTAAGTGTCCGACTTTGGCTCAGGTCATGATGTAATGACTGCAAAATTTATCACATCATACACTTATAATACAATATTGTTTTATATATTCATTATACCACACATTAGATCTGTATTGTTTATTACTATTTATTACAAGTTTGTGCCCTTAAACACCATCACTCTTATCAACGATCTGCCACCCTATTCCATTCTCCAGTAAGTACCCTTTTACTTTTGTTTTTTAAAATAGGTTTAACTTTTTTAGATTCCATATATAAGCAATATTGTACAATAGTTGTATTTCTGACTTATCTTGCTTAAGCACAATGTGTTCACAGTCTATCCATGTTATCACAGATGAGAGGATATTTTCCTTTCTCATGGCTCAGTAATATTCCATCATGTATACGTACCACACCTTTTTCATTCATTTATCTTTTAATGGACATTTGGGTTGTTTCCAAACATGAGTATGTGTATCCCTTTGAAATTCTGTTTTCATTTCCTTTGGGTATAGGCACACAAAGGGAATTGCTGGATCATATGGTAGATCTATTTCTCATTTTTTGAAATACTTCCATATTGTTTTCTACAGCGGTTGGACCAATTTACATTCCCACCAACAATGTTTAAGTACTTCCTTTTCACCATATCCTCACCAGCACCCATTGTCTTTTATTGATGATAGTCATTCTAACAGTTGAGAGGGTCTATCTCATTGTAGTTTCTTATTTAAATGTTTATTTTTGAGAGAGGAGAAAGGGAGGGAGGGAGAGGGAGACAGGGAGAGAGGGGGAGAGGGAGTAGGGGGAGAGAGAGAGAGAGAGGGAGAGAGAATCCCAAGCAGGCTCTGCACTAACAGCATGGCTCGATCCCATGAACCATGAGACCATGACCTGAGCTGAAATCAAGAGGTGGACACTTAAATGACTGAGCCATCCAGGTGTCCCTCACTGTGGTTTTGATTTAACTTTCCCAAGGGACATATTTTCCATTCCTCACCTCAGTCATCTTATCCAGAATAGTCATCATTTCAAACTCTGCCCATCTACTTGCTTTCTATACTGTCAATGGCAAGAGTTGAGCAGGTGCAAGGGCTTGCTAAACTGGGGATGGTCGGGGAAGCTGGGTCAGAAGCTGAGCATAACTGAGCCACACCTACTTTAACTGTCTGGGACTGGGCTCTAGAATAGAACCCAACAGTTTATCAGCAAGTGTTTCTCAAATAAGAGCACTCCCATTGCAAATACGAGTCCAGCAGCAGCAGGATATGGATAAAGTCTTAAAAAGATAATAATTTACTAGTTGAAAGGTGATGCATTTAAAATATACAATACTATGCAAATAAATCTCACCCTTGTTTCTCCAAGGTTACTGCTCAATGTTTGTGTTACAATCTCTGCGTTTATTTTGCCAAAGTCAGTCCGTGAATGTTAACGAACATATGTCTATACATATATACGTATCCACAAAACCAAACAAAAAAGCAGTTCCGTATGTTTCCACTCCAATCAAATACCCTGAAAATACCTTTTACCACTATAGAGTTGCTTCATTCTTTTTTTCTGGTTGCAGAATATTCTATTGTATTGATGTGTCATTATTCGACTAACCAATTATTCACCCTAATAAGGGATATCTCAATTCAAACTAATTACTGATAGTCTTAAGGTGAGAATTCATACCATGAAGTAACTCTCCCCTGTACCAGGGTTTTAGATAATTCATAATGCTTTTGGTGACTGCCAAAAGCTACACAGCCTTCATGTATGTTTGCAAATTATAGAATATTCTAGAACTGACATTTAATGAGAACGGTCCACTTCTCATTCTCAAATACTGCAATGAAGATCATTTCTGGAATCTTACCTGGAGCACCATTAGGGTGTATTTCCCACACTTCTTCTCCAGCTCTACAGTCATCTTTTGGAGGCTGCAGATGTGTCCCGAAAGCCGGCCTTCACTCTCCTTCAGTTTATTCATGTTCTCTTTCCCCAAATCGTTCAGTCTCTGCAGAATCATCTCTTTATTACTATTTTACAAGTGATAATCTCATTTATTCACTAATTCAACTACCTCTTCAATGCACTTTTCTTCCTGCCATTTCAAAAATACATATAAGTAGATATGGCCCGACAACTCCTCTGTGTCAAGAAGGACACCTCACTAGAAGCTAGATTCTTTGACACAATATATTTGTGTTGATGTGGAAGGTATGCACATAGTCCACTTATACAGAAGACAACCTGACTCTAAAACAGATCACGTTATTTTGCTGTACAGTTTTGTCCAGAAAGTCTCCTATTACCTTCATTAAATTAAGATTTGAAATTAAAAATATAATCAATTAATAAGAAAGAATGAATCAAGCTACTGACATTTTTTATCCTTGCAAAGATGCTTTATCTAGGCATAAGAGCACATGCTCATGTTATTTTTCTTCTTAACACAAAGGATGCATATTATACCCTACTTTAAAAAAATTTTTTTAATGTTTATTTTTGAGAGAGACAGAGAGTGAGCAGGGGAGGGGCAAAGAGAGAGGGAGACACAGAATCTGAAGCAGGCTCCAGACTCTGAGCTGTCAGCACAGAGCCCGAAGTGGGGCTCCAACCCACGAACTGTGAGATCATGACTTGAGCTGAAGTTGGTCGCTTAACCTACTGAGCCACCCAGGCGCCCCTACTTGTTTTTTATTAATAAATAGTATGTTCTTGGAGAGCATTTCTTATCCATACACATATGGCTGTGTTATCTTTTCTAACTGCTGAAGAGCATTCCATTTTAAGTACATAATACAATCTATTTTGAGAGTCCTGTATTGATGGATATAGGTTGTACTTAATCTCTTGCTATCATAAACTTTACAATTAATAATAATGCCTAATAGTCTCCACTGCATAATACGTGCAAACACTATTTAAAGAGCTTTATGTAGATTATCACATTCAATCCTCACAATAGCATAAAAACTACAGGTATTTTCTCCACTTTATAGCTAAGGAAACTGAGTCTCGGGTTAAACAACATGTATAGGTTAGACTAGCCACTTAGAGACTAGTAAATAGCAGAAGCCAGGTAGGAATTTCACCAGTCTGGCTTCAAACATGACCTCTAAACCATGGCTCTATACTGGAATAATTTTACAGCATTCCCTTATCCTTGCATCTTTTTATATGCATGTAAGCATATCTGTAAGATAAGTGACCGGAAATAGAACGGCTGGCTGAATACGTACATTCTTTTAATGTACGTGTGGCTGTCACTGGATGTCTCATTCTAGAATTGGCATAATGTTCAGCTCCCCTTTCCCTCATTTCCCAAATACTGTGAGCGTGCCGTTTTCCACCTCTCACCTGTAGCGTTTCCTGGGACTGCCCCTTCAGCTCTGTGGCAAATGCCAGCACTTGATTCAGATGGTCTTCCCTCAACTTTGGGTTGAATACGCAGTCTTGTAGGCTCCGGAAGTTCATCTCTTCAACCATCAACCGGAACCTTATTCTATATTCAGACTCAATCATCTCTTTAAAATCCTGCTCTTCTCCCTTCATCACAGATATAGATAAGAGACTTCAAGTTAAACAGCAGAGATAAATATTCATGGTCACTTTCCATCTCTAACTCCAATACAAAGACAAGGGAATATCAAGTACAGGGGAAGAAACAAAATGCATACATACAGAGGGCAAAGAAAGTTTCACGATCAACCAACATCAACATAATCTTAGAACATGCAATGCAGATGAACACATGTTAACTGACTTAGAAAACTGAGGAATCTACAATCACAGTGACAAAGAGGGGGAGATGAGGAAAATTGGAAGGTGGGGCAAATGGATTTGGCTGTGCTTTGGATAATGAGTATCAGGAAAGGGAAATGGTAGGGTGACACCAAAGTTGTTAGATAAAGCAACTGGAAGAAGGAAGTTGCCAAAACAGGAAAACAAGGGAGGGATAGATTGTAGAGGCAGGGAGTGTATCAGCAGCTCAGTTTTTGGATATGCTGGTTTTGATTAGTCAATCAGTCATCCAAAAGAGATGCTGAATAGAAGTTGGATGTGAAAGCCTATATCACTTGGAAGTCAGAGCTACAGACTGGTACTGGGAGTGGCCAGCTTAATGATATTTCATCTCATGAGACTCCGCAGTCAATACTTATCAAGAACCGAACCACTGCTCACCACCTTTACCACTAACCCCTGGTTCACCATCACCTGTCCCTGATAACTACAACAGTCCCCTGTCAAGTATCCCACCTCTGCTCTCACCCTCCTACAGTCTTGTCTTATCTCAGCAGTCAGTGTTTCTGTGAGAATGAAAGTTCAATCAAGCCACCCCTCTGTTCAAAACTTTCCTCGTTTCCCTATTTCATTTAAACAAAATTTTTTTAAGTTTATTTATTTTGAGAGATTAAGACAGAGAGCAGGGGAAGGGCAGAGAGAGAGAATGAGAGAGAGAATCCCAAGCAGACTCTGCACTGCCAGCACAGATCCTGATGTGGGGCTAGAAACCAAGAACTGTGACATCATGACCTGAGCTGAAATGAAGTCAGATGCTTAACAGACTAAGCCACCAAGGCACCCTTCCCTATTTCATTTAAAGTCCTCTGCCCTAGGGGTGCCTGGGTGGCTCATTCGGTTAAGTGGACTTTAGCTCAGGTCATGATCTCTCAAGGTTAGGTTTGTGAGTTTGAGCCCCACTTCCTGCTCTGTGCCGACAGCTCCGTCTGGAGCCTGCTTCAGATTTTGTGTCTTCCTCTCTCTCTGCCCCTCCCCTGCTGGCACTGTCTCTCTCCCCCTCAAAAATAAATAAACATAAAAAAAAAAAAAGTCAGCTGCCCTATAGATTTGGCCCCTTTATCTTCTAATCTCACCTATCAGCTTCCACTGCCTTTCCAGCCCCAACTAAGAACCTACCAGATTCTTCCCAAAACAGTATAACTCAATCCCTCAACAGCTTGAGTTTTCTCAAATGCCACTTTCTGAACAAGGTCCTGATCACTTTATTTCAAAGTATATCCCATCATGCTTCCCTCTGCCCACCCCTCCCTGAATGTATAGCATTTACCATGTAACATTCATTTTACTTATTTGGTTTACTTCCATGAGAATGTCAGTTGCACAAGGGCAATTTTTTTCCCCCTCTCTTACTACTGAATCTCCAATACCTAGTATAGTCCCTGGCAAAGAGTGGGACCCCAATATTTTATTTTTGAATATATGGTGGTTAAGGCTGAAAAAAATGGGGATCAGTTGAAAAGTTCTTGCAGAGTCAGTCAATTCTTCTCTATCATCTTCAACTAGCCATTTATTTTCTTTAAAATTGAAAGAGGGGCGCCTGGGTGGCGCAGTCGGTTAAGCGTCCGACTTCAGCCAGGTCACGATCTCGCGGTCCGTGAGTTCGAGCCCCGTGTCGGGCTCTGGGCTGATGGCTCAGAGCCTGGAGCCTGTTTCCGATTCTGTGTCTCCCTCTCTCTCTGCCCCTGCCCCGTTCATGCTCTGTCTCTCTCTGTCCCAAAAATAAATAAACGTTGAAAAAAAATTTAAAAAAAAAAAATAAAATTGAAAGAGAGAAGAGTCAGAATCTGGATATCTGGCACAGAACAGAGTTAAAGGCTTGAGTTAGAAGGTTTGAAATCAGAAGTGAAACATGGGCATAACAGACAGCAAGCCCTCATTCTGGACAGTAATTCTCAAACTGCCTTTTAAATGGTTTTAGGATTCAAATTTTTAAAAAAGGGGGAGGGGCACCTGGGTAGCTCAGTTGGTTAAGCATCTGACTTTGGCTCAGGTCATGATCTCATGGTTTGTCAGTTTGAGCCCCGCATCAGGCTCTGTGCTGACAGCTCAGAGCCTGGAGCCTGCTTCAGATTCTGTCTCCTTCTCTCTCTGCCCCTCCCCCACTCACACTCTGTGTCTCTCTCCTTCAAAAATAAATAAACTTAAAAAAAATAATAAATGGTTTCAGGATTTACATGGCCACCAACACTACATGAGATGCTCACTCGCCCATGGCACTGTTATAAACTGTTATCAATCATTAGTATCTTCCAATAAGGGTTACAAATGTCATTTCACAAATTTAAGAGTTAATTTGTATTCTTCTTACCATAAAAAAAGTTCAGGATCTTCTTATTCAAAAGGTAGTTGCATTTCCTTTTCTGCAAAATCTCATTTCTTTGATCGTTTTTCTATTGAATTTCTAGTCTTCTGCTTATTGATGTTAGAGAGTTCTTTATTCGTAAAGAAATTAACACTTTTCCTACCAATGGATTTCAAATATTTTTCCTGGTTTGTCATTCATCTTTTGACTTTGTTTATGTTATTTGCTGTCCAACGTTATAGGTAATTCCCTAAGACTCGAGATAAGCACTGACCTGAATCATCACCATTCTTTCTTGCTCATCAGCCAATATGCTTTTAGCTACTTCAAGTTTCTCCTTCAATGTGTTCAATATCTCCTGGAATAACTTCTGCAGAGAAATAGATCACAAAACTCTAGGTAAAGTAATTGCTTTAGAATAGTTAGATTTTTCACCTTGGACAACTGAAAAAGGGCCAAAACACCTATGTTTTCTTAGCCTTTACGTTTAAGGTCTAAATATAGTACCTGTCTAGAATTCTCTGATAAACACTGCCTAAGGGAAGTGGCCTTGCGGGATCAGAATATCGCCTCCCCTCCCCCAAATCAGTTAGTAAGAGGAGGCGGCCAGTGTTAAGAGTGCTCTGGGATCTGCAGGAGGCTCACCCTATAAACGCCAGCAGCCTCTTGTACTCCACACACCAGGTGATTCTCGTGCTCCTGAGAGTGGAAGCACTGGCCACACAGCAGGATTTGGTCATCAACACAGAACAACTGCACTAGTTCCAGGTGTTTCTCACAGTAGACATCTTCCGGGAATTTTTGCTGTAACTGGGAGCTGAGCCTCCTGGACATCCTGGCAGGTGTCCCTAGGTGAACTTTCTGCCGTGGAATACCTCCCTGCACACTGAACCATAAAAGAGTGGCGGTGAGGGGCGCCTGGGTGGCGCAGTCGGTTAAGCGTCCGACTTCAGCCAGGTCACGATCTCGCGGTCCGGGAGTTC